TCCAAGCTTGTTACAGAATCAGAGACCTGCCCGTCGCAGATTTGGTCACTTTTTTGGCAAGTCATAGAGCCCAGCATTGATGGTAAACTCTCACTCTTGGATATCAAGCGCAGTGATGTGTGGACCGTTCAATATGAAGGTCAAATGTCGAGACTGAATCTTGTGATAGGTGAAGGCGGTCTCGAATGGCTTCTCTATGCATCACCTCCAAGTCACAAGCCATCTCTGTCCCTCATCCGAGAGATCCTCTCCAAACCAATTGCACGACTCAGACCAGAGCATGGTTTTCTCCTGAAAGGCGAATGGGAAATATGTTCTCTGATCAGCCTCAAGGGCTATTTAAATGTATGCGCGGGTGGACGTCAAATTGATAGCTACGAAGTTAGAAGTGGCCATCAAGATCCGCAATTCGTTGGGTCAAAGGTTTGGACGCGTATTGAAATTCAGGGCTCAGACGAAGATGTGCAGAACTTAGATGCTGATATTCGAGGTTCATATGAACTTTTGCCAGAATGCGGGACTGCATTCGCATCTTTGCATAGGAAAGTCACATCTGAGAAGGAACCTGTTGTTTATCTTTTCTTGGATTCGACCAAGCTTGGAAAGCCTGAGAATGACTCTTTCGTTTTCTCTTTTGAACATCGATTCATCTCTGGATATGATCGACGCAGAACGATCGCCGAAATATCGCACGCTTGGCGCTCTTGGAAAGCGAGCGACATACCCGAGTCTGTTCCTGTGTATCACCGCAAGTGGATCAAGGCATCAGCTGTGTCTCTAACCCCTCATGCTCCCGCTGCTTCCATTGAGTGTTATAGCCTGGCACCTGACAGCAAGATTATCAACAGCGTTTCTGACTGTCATAATGCCAATACCACCTTGCTCTCATTCAAATTGCCAATGACAGGGACGCAACTAGACAACCCAAGTGACCAGTGGGAGACGATAAATCCAGTACACTCGGCTTCGAAATTGCGAGACTTCTTTTGGTTATTTCAGAAAGCAGCAGGCTTCGATCCTTTTAAAGAGTGGCAGGATTTAATTCACGTGCAGACCGTGAAAGATGGCAATCGATCAATCTGCGATGTATGCGCACCACCCAGACCACGGTTTCTGCCGGGTAGAGATCGACGGGGCCGTATGGTTACTTACGAAGACCCGTATGATGCAGCCTTATATGAGCGCCGAACGAAGTTGAAGCCTTCTGCGTTCCTGTTCTTCCGTCGCATTTGTCAAACAGGCTCCGGCAATCTGTGTGTCACTCTCAATATCCAAGTTCTGATTCATCAGGCGTATGACCGGTTGTGTGGTTCTGAGGTGGTCGAAGGGGCCCGGTTCCAATGGCGCCTCTTGCCCAACTCATATGACACACGTAACCACTGCTTCTCGGATCTCAGCCTAACCAGCAACCGCCACGACCTGCCGTCTTTTCAACCCCCTAATTTCCGGTTGAAGTTACGGCCTGAGCAGTTGCGATCCTTGGGTTGGATGATTGATCAGGAAGGTGACAAGAACGCACCATTTTTGGAAGAAGAAGTAGAAGAGGCACTCCTTCCGCAGATGATGTGGCGTGCTGAAGCTAGAGTTCTTGTTCCTAAGACTGTCCGGGGAGGTGTCCTCGCAGATGATGTCGGCTACGGCAAAACCGCCATCATTCTGGGACTGATCGATATGCAACACGAAAACCTTCGGATGCCGATTCCAGACCCGAAGAATGGGTTCATTCCCGTGAAAGGCACCCTTGTCGTTGTTCCTGGAGTTGTTTTGCGACAATGGGAGTTGGAAATCAAGAAATTCTTGGGGTCCAAATATAAGGTTCTTGTCATTGGCTCAGTACAGAACCTCTCAAAGGTACCCATCAAAAATATCCTTCTCAGCGACATCATATTGGTGTCCTGGACTGTCTTCAACGGCGATGCCTACTACAACAAATTGAAAAATCTCACTGGAACGTCACGGGCGCCTGGGAATAAGGCTCGCGATTTTGAGAATTGGTTCACGAACGCACTGGCTTCGCTAAAAGATCTAGTTAGAGTCCTGGCAGGAAAAGGCCCCGATGCCTTTCTCGATGCAATCCGCTCAAAGCGCCAAGATGCCGAATTAAGCCAGAGGCAGGCCACATATTTGCCGTCTAGGCGTTTTAGAGGGAAATCATATGTCGATGCGGTCCGAAATTGGTACAATAGTGCTGATTTTGAGGAGCATGACGGCAACATCTCTAGTGCTGAAGAAGATGCAGACCATATGGAAGATGAAAGTGACGAGTCATTGAAGGCTAGGGTGCACCATTGTTTGAAATTTCTGCCTTCGAAGATGTTAGTCCCCGACGGTGATGATGATCCTGAAGACTCAGCCAGCCCAAGCTCAGCATCGGATGATCCTGAGGGACAGGTACCGTCAGGTACCAGCAACAAAAGCAGGAAACCTGGCCGCTCGGAGTCTAGCAAGGAAGTCTGCAAGACATGGAACGACCTGAAGGAGTTCAATATCAATGGCCAGCCCGATCAGGCTTGGACAGAGGTCAAGATTCTTTGCCTCCATGCTTTTGCTTTCAGTCGCCTTATCATTGACGAGTTCACGTACGCAAGCAATGAGAGACTCGAATCCTTCCTGACACTCGAAGCTGGCTCGAAGTGGATCTTGTCGGGAACTCCACCTTTGAATGATTTTGCCGATGTCAAGTCCATTGCAACATTTATGGGGGTCCATCTGGGGATAGACGATGATGAGTTCAAGTCGCAGAACGGTCGACTCAGGTTGCTGTCTAATCAGCGATCCGATGCAGAGAGGTTCCAGTCCTACCGAACGACCCACAGCGACGCATGGCATCAGAATCGCCACGAGGTTGCACAAAGGTTTTTGAGTCGGTTTGTTCGCAGAAATGTTCCGGAGATTGGCGAGATCCCCTTCACTGAACATGTCATCCTAATCCGCCCAACACCGGCTGAACAGGCACTCTACTCCGAGATGTACAGGCAATTGGAAGCATGTGATGGCAAGCTCCGCCGTCAGGTCAAGTCTCGATTCGATGGCGATCAGGCTAGTCGGCTAGATGCAATCCTGAGTACTAGCACAAGCTGCGACGAAGCACTACTCAAGCGCTGTGCTTGTCTCGCTGTCGTTGGTAATTGGACGAAGACCCGGGGACCAGAAGTCACGACTTGCGAATCTCTCATTGAACTCAGGAAAAAGGAGATTGCCGACCTGCGAGAAGAACTCGTGAAAAAATTGAGACTAGCGGCGTGGATGTACTGCGAATGTGATTCACAGTCTGCCAGGTTTGACAATTTCGTCGACGCCGTCACCGGTCACAATTTTGGCGACAACTCGGTGACAGAAACCGTTTGCTCTCTTTTGGACGATGCAGTCCGCTCATCGAATCCGAGCCATTGGAAAGAATTCTTCGCACCTCCGACCAAAGTCGATCCACAGCAGTCGGCAGGCAAGCAGGACAATGGTAACGTTACTATCAGCCCTGGTACTCAGAAACGTGCAGCAAGAGGAAGATCATCGAAGGCCCCGCAGTCAAAGAAGTCCGCCGGCCACAGAGAGAACTATAACAGCAAAACCGTACTCCCAGCAAGACCTGCAGGATTGGCCGAGATCGAGCCACAACTGCGCGAAGTTACAACTGCTATGAAAGGGATGATTGACGAATGGGTTTCGCGCAAGCGTGGCGTAAGATTTCTCAAGAAGACACGGTCGATGCAAATCTGCGGGCAGATTTCTAAGTGCTCTAGTTGCAATAGCCGGCCTGACTCTCTCGACCAATTAAGCTTACTAGGTTCTTGTGGTCATTCGCTTTGCAAAGACTGCATCTCGCAGGCTGTGCAGAAAGAGGAATGCAGTGTGGAAGGATGCCGCGGTTCCGGCAAGGGCTACAATGTCATTCCAATGGCCACGTTGGAGCGCGAGACTGTCGACAGAGAGACCGCATTTGGCGGCAGCAAACTCGACAAGCTGATTGAGATCATCCGCGGCACTCCTCAGGGCGAGCGGGTCCTCTTGTTCATTCAGTTCCCAGATCTGATGCAAGCCGCCGCCAAAGCATTGAATCTCGCCAAGATCAAACACACCATGATCACGGCAGTGGAAGGTAGGTCTACCGCGAAGCTCGACAAGGTACAGGCGAGCGGATTAGGGCAGACAAAGGTGTTGATTCTGAACCTTGGAACCGAGTTGGCTGCGGGATTGTAAGTCAGAGCCGATTCCTCTCGCAAACGTTTCGTGGGTGTCTAACTATGAGTTATAGGAACTTGCAGCAAGCGAACCACGTCATTTTCCTGTCACCCCTGCTGATGCAGACTCAATATGATTACGACTCGACTATGACCCAAGCCATCGGCCGCAGTCGACGGTTCGGTCAGACCAAGCATGTTCACATCTACCACCTGCTGGCCAGGAAGACCATTGATGTGACCATCTTCGAAAATCGTCGCGACAAGGCTCTTGTCGAGGAGGGTGAGAAATCTGTACGGGTCACGCCCGAGGAAGTCGCAGATGAAAAAACAATTAGTTGGGGAGAACAACCACTGATCGAAGACGAAGCGATTTAGGTTGTATTGAAGATATGTTGGTTGTTCGGCGATCAGCATCTGGTGTCGCTTCTGGATCTGTCTTGTCATCTTGAATGCCATGTATGTACGAGTTAACGACAGCCAAATTGCAGCGATAGCAGTCAAAGCAGCCTCAGGGATGTTCTTACCAGTACTTGCTCAGTAGGCTTTTCAAGGACATGTGGAAAAACCCCATGCTAGGATTCCACGGGCACCTTCCTCAGATGCCTTGAAGACGCTTGAGATCATGCTGGGGAAGGCGCAACCGAACCCTACACCCGAGATTCCGGTGTAAGGGTCGGTTGGGGAAGGAATTGAGATCGTACGGAGATCGAGCACAAAGCCCAGAAGTATTGAAGGCGTGTTGTCTCTGCCGGTCACATGATTCCTAACTTTGATGGTATCTGACGACTAAGCATGTTATGATAAGGTGTTTCGATTAGTCGTAGAATCTGGATTAGGATTATTTTGCAGAGTAGGTAACCTAGAGGCAACGCAATTCCGGTGATTGAACAACTAAAAGACTCCATTGGGTACTGCTAACACAACCTTCTATGGCAGATCAAATGACTCCCACCATGACTCGGTTTTCCTCCTTGCGCAACAGGAAGCAAGCGAATATGGAAGCACAACGTACTGTACATGAGCATCATCCGAGTTGCCGTGTCTGGAATTTACCGGCCAGGAATGTTTTTTCGAGATAAAGAGAAATTGAGATATAGAACGATGAAAAGGGGAAAACATGAGGGAAAACTATCGAACCTTCCAACGCACGGCATCGAAAACTGTATTCAAATTATAGGCTGACATTCATTTATTGCGCGGGCTGATCCAAGGCTCCATCCTTTCTCATCATCGTCTCCGGGTCCCAGACGGGGTCCACCAGGTTCGTCAGGCCGGCGCTGTTCTCGCAGGTCTGTCTGCCGGTCAACGGGCCAGGGGCGGGCACCTTGACGGACTGGCCGGCCTCAGCAGCGGTGGCCGACTCCTTAAGCGCGGTGAGGAGAGTCTTGATGGATTCGGGGGTGAGATCCTCGTAGTAGTCGTCGTTGATCTGGACCATAGGGGCGTTGACACAGGCACCCAAGCACTCGACCTCGACGAAGGTGAAAAGACCGTCTTCGGTGGTGTGTCCAGGGGTGATGCCCAGATGTTCCGTGATAGCCTTGACGATCTTGTCGCTACCGCAGCCACCGAGCTGGCAGGGTGTCTGTAGGCGGTGGTGTTAGTGACTGCGCGCGGTTTGAAGCAATGGGATGGGTTTCAAGACGTACCGTCGTGCACAGCTGGACGAAGTACTTGCCAACGGGCTCCCGGTTGTACATGGTATAGAAAGTTGCGACTTCGTAGACACGCATGGGGGGCATCTCGAGGAGGCGGGCGACCTCGTTCATGACGCTGATGCTGGTGTAGCCGTGCTGGCGCTGGCCCAGGTCGAGAATGGGCATAACAGCACCCTTCTTGTACTGGGGGGGGTAGCGCTTGAGGATCTCATCGATGAGCTTGAGGTTCTGGTCGTTGAACTTGAAAGGGACGGACGGGTTGTTGTCGGGCTTGTTGCGGTGCTAGTGAACCCAAACCGTTAGCCTCAATTATCCCAACCACAAAGACGGCGTCTCCTGTTTAGCGACTGTGAACGAAGAAATGTCCGATAGAACCGCGAAATCCGAATGGTGACCACGCTGGCGGATGCAATTGCACATACCACGGCAAGGGAGTCGCTGCAGCGTTGCGGACCAGCCGAGAAAGGTCTGAATTGAGTCTTAGGGAAGTTCTGGAAAAGCTGGCGGCCAGTCCGCGGGACGGCGGGGAAGAGTTTGGAAGCCATTGCCGGTAGCGACGGGGAGAATTGAGGGGGTATTGGGGGCGAGGAGAAGAGATTCGATCTGATGGATTGAAGGTGAGCGCTCGACTTGGAGTCGAAGAGGCGTTTTGCGGAAGCTACAGCTGACCAATCACCGCCGACAGATTACTCCCCGCCTTGTGCCAATAAAAGAGAATCACTCAGCAGCATCATGCTTTCAATTTCACCATCGCTCTTCGACAAGCTTTCCACCTTTACGGAGAGGGTCAATTCTCGGTCGAATACTTGCGATGAGTTATCTTGAGGACTAATGACAGCCACTACCGCGAAATTTCCGAAAACGCGAGCCTCCCCCCGAAACATCCTCGTAACGCCGCACATCCGCTCTTCGATTCCAGATCAAATTACACATTCTCCATCTTGTAAACCTCATACGCGACCTCCTCGTACGGATGAGCCTTCACCAAAGCCTCCACAGCCTGCAGCATAATCGACCGTCCCAAGCACATAACCTCCACCTTCATCTCCTCGACATACTCCACGTCGCCGACCGAGCCAATTGCGGGATTGGCACCCTCTCCTGGCAGGAATTGTCCGGTTCCCCGTGTCTGGAAGCAGCATTTGGAATACTTGCCGCCAGGAAATGTTCCGGCACCAGTAGCGAACACCGCATCCTTGCAGACGTCAAGGTGGGAGTGCGGCACGAAGAAAACGAGTTTGTAGCGGTCGGGAATATGCTGGGTAGCCATATTTCGGACGCGATGGGATTGGAAGGTTGGGAGTTTGCGTAGAAGCTGGGAGGTTTCGGTGGAAGTGGAGTATCGGTAGGTGGTAGCAGCAGCTTTAGATGCGGTAGAAGAAAAGGTTGATCTCAAGAAGGGAAAGCTCGAGGATGAGCAAGTCCGGATAAAGTGGCGTAGAAGAGGCTGCGATACAATCGCGCGGGAAGCCGGACGGCCCAGCATTGGCATGAGGGGTTATTGGCTTCACCAGGGGTCTGCTACACGGTTGACCATCTGCCCGAAGCGCAGCTGTTACATTGACGTCCTCACGGTCCTTAACGCTTGGCAATCCCTGCAGTGTTCGTTACTAATCTCGCCCTGACTGATAAATCCGGCGATAGAAAACGAGCCTACGTCGCCAGGCTCACACGCGGAAATGAAGTCGGTCATCAACTTCACGTGAGTATCTGCATTTTCGCACCCGTCCACCCATGGGAATTGAGTTTAATCCTTACGAGACTGCAATGGTTCATGCGCATCATCATCTCATTATATAAACCGAATCTATATGAACCCTAGTCTACAGACATTTATACTCTAAGCCAGAATAGCGAACTTCTCGACGTGGGCATCGATCCGCTGCAGCAGTTCCTGCTTGCGGTCCTCACCGATCCAGCTCTCGGTGACACTGTTGACGGCAATTGTCTTCCACTCATTCACGGAAAGGTTGAACGCCTCGTGGACAGCGCAGTAGTTGTCCAGGATATAACCACCGAAGTAAGCCGGGTCATCGCTGTTGAGCGAGAACTTGACACCAGCATCCAGGAACTTGCGGATGGGCACCTCCGCCACCGTCTTCACGCACTTGAGCTGAACGTTCGACAGAGGGCAGACGGTCAACAGGATGTTCTCGCGAGCCACACGCTCCATGAGGGCCGGGTCCTCGACGAGCCGGATGCCATGGTCAATGCGCGTCGCGCCCATCTCCAGGGCAGCGGTGATGTAGGTAGGATCACCCTCCTCACCCGCATGGGCGGTAAGACGAACGCCCTTGGCCGATGCGGACAGGTAGATCTCGCGGAACATGTCCTTGGGAGGGCCGACCTCGGAGGAAGAGTAGCCGAGGCCGTGGATCACCTCGGTGTCGAAGTGGTTGTTGTCGAGGATGTTCTGGTAGGTCTTCTTGGCAGACTCAACGGGGAGGTGGCGAACGAAGCACAGGATGAGGCGGGTGGAGAGACCGAGCTCCTGCTCGGCGCGCTTGCAGCCGGCGACGAAGCCGGCCACGATGGTCTCGTAGGGAATGCCACGGTCCTGGTGAACCTGAGGGTCGAAGAAGACCTCGGCATGGTGCACGCCGTCCGCGTGAGCCTTCTTGAAGTAGGCCCAGGCCAGATCGGCGAAATCGGATTCCTGGATGAGCACGGACATGCCGATGAAGTAGAAGTGGAGGAAGTCGTCCAAGGAGCTGAAGTGACCATATCTGCTAGTCAAAGTCTCGATAGACTCGTAGGCGGGTTCAGACTTGGGGTCGGGAAGCTGGACTTGGTTCTTCTCGGCCAGTTGGAAGATCAGCTCGGGGGTGAGGCAGCCTTCCAAGTGCACGTGGTGCTCGCACTTGGGAAGGCCAAGGAGGAAGTCATGCCAGGAAGATTGACACATATTGGATTGTTTTATGATCAAAGAAAAGAAAAGGGTATCTTAGAGAAAAAGAAGCAATGCTTGATTTGGAAAAAAGTACCTAGCAAGAAAAACAGCAAAGAAAATCACGAAAGAAGGGAGAAGACTTTGCGGGAGAATCTGAATATAAGGTGTGCACCAGGCTCCATTTTTACGGAAATCCAAAGGAGATGGTCTCCCAAGATGGCTGCTCGTCCGACACGGGTGGATCCATTTGGGTCTCACACTCGGAATAAAGTCAACGGTGTGGATTGCAGTTGGTCGGCAGCGATCCACCAGGGCGGAATTCTACAACTCTTCTGGAAGCACGATCCATGATAAGCTTGTTTGGTGCGGGTGAGAATTTCAGGCACGCCCGCACATCGGTCACATACCGAGTCGGAATCGGCCGATGGCCTGGAGGGCGGAGAATTTTCTTTCCTGGGTAGTATAACACCCCTGGCCACTTTCACACAGGCCCAAATCTTTGAGCAGAACTTGATGGACAACGATTAGGAGTAGGTATTATACTACCGTTTGAAGGAATATCTGCTTTTGTTGACTGCAAGTTTGTGTTGGTAGAATTGAGGTAACACCGTATTGAAGTCGACCTCAAGAGGTCCGTAGTGGGGGGGAGGGGTTACAATTATCGTTCTGTAGATGCGTTAGATGATACACAAACCATAAATTATACGCCGCAGCTACTACTGGAAAAGACTTTGAAACAATGATGGAGATGAAAGGGCATTTATAAATGAAAACTGAAAGAAAGCGGGGTAGGAGCCGGATTTTGTCGGTACGTATTGGAAAATAACCGGATCTGTAGACCCTTGAGCTTTGCATAATCTAAAATTACATTCGAACATGAAATTCTCGCGCCCCCTCTCGATGTTAATGCTTGAATGAACTTTCGCTGCCAGATTGACCACATCGCTATCAAAATAAAGATGGGATCAGATATCAGATATATACATTGATCTCGAAACATATACACCAAGTCTAGCGTAGGAATATATCCACAGCGACAGAGTGAGGCTAAAGGGCTTTATGGAGATGGTGGGAACGTCAATTGTGATATGAGGGTCATAGTCATTGGTGGCAGTGGTTTTTCGCCGAAGACCAGCATTCGTCGTTGTAGAAGGAGTAATAGTAGGAGCTGGAGTCAGCGCAGGAGTCGGTGCAGTCACAGCAGCCACTCAACTTACCGAATGGGGTAACAGAAGAACTGAAGAGAGCTGCAGATGCATATTTGACCGAGGTGGTTTATAGCAACCCGGAGAAAGAGAAACCAATAAACACAATAAAAGAGGAAGGTGAAATGGGGAAGAGGCACTGAACATAATGCTTGCTGATATAGGTTGAAGCTTTCAAGGCTCGTCTCATTCTACTACTGGATTTGATGACTGCAATGGTCTATTGTTGATGCTATTCCTGCTGTGGTGATACACGATGACTCCGCTCTGATTCTATTCCTAGCGTCCACTACTGCAGAGATATAGACTTGCCTATAATCTGAGCTCATACTGGCGGAGTAGACGTATCGCAACGAAGGGCGACAATGGCGCCTTGAGATAGAAATCTATGCCCTGGCACCATCCAGATATCAAGCGTCAAACAGCAATCCCCGAATCCCCACTCCACAAATCTTAAACGAAAGCCTCCTAGGCTGCCGAATAATTAGTCCCTCTCCATACCCCCAGCCTGACTGGTGATTGGTTAGAAATCAAGTCAAGCAAAGGACCTCGACTCAAGCTGCTGTATTTGCAGTCTAGCTTTGTTTCAGCTTTGTACACCATGGGCATCCATCAGTCACAATGGGCTTGAAGCCTGTGTCTCAGGCACTCCACACGTCCACTCGGTTATGACCGAGGTATCGGGCCATTGCTGTATCATTGCGAGAGACCCTACCTGTGGCTGTGTAAGTAGGTAGTGCTATTGAGGCTCGTCGGTATAGAACTGGTAGCAGCCGGCAAAACTACGCAAAGGCAAAACAGACTAGTCTTGGTAGTTGATGATAAGACATCTCTGCCTACAGCAGCCAAGTCAAAAATTATCTAGGTTCATTGGTTTGATGAAGCGCTGGGTATGTGTTCTATTGAATATGAGAACGTCTTTGGTTCAGCCGTGGCCTCGGATTGTCGCCATAGATATGACTTTGTGCTCGAATTCTCTGAGCGGTACAATTTGAGAGGTACGATTCTCGTTCTGCGTCATTCTTGTCAAAAGACTGAGCCGCCTGACGGCTCTGCGGATTCAAGAAACATTTTGAGGTTGAAAAACCAGCCCCATCGATGACCGGATAAGTAAGGAGACAGACGCACAGTCATCCCCTATGACATAGAACTCAAGGATGATTAGGTATGGTAGTTTCGAATTGTCGTCTGTTCCAGTCTAGGGTAATTCTCAACCGCCAGTCGTGCCTCGGCTTGCGTTCACAGTCGCCCAACCGCCCCTGTGGGCTCGTGATCATCAGCAACATCACGGAGTCTGATGGGGTATGCTAACAAAGAGAGGAAATGATAGTCAACGAAGTCTCTCATATCGGTTTCCATTGCCATAAATGTTTTAGCACATCAACTTTGTGGATGTAAAGTACAGTATGCGTATGTTTCCCCGGATTTGATGCTCTCTCAATCCACCCGACCCACCCCAAGCCCCAAATCCCTGAAAACTTGAATGCTGATCTTCATTTTAAAGTTATCAGATCGGATCTTCAATCAATGCTTACACAACTCTATGTTTACTCATGGCAAGCAGCATAATTGACAGCTGATCTTCCCAACCATTTAGTCTCAGTAGCCTTGCACATCCACATGCACCTCATATCCTTAAAAATCGGTTTTGAAAAACTGAAAATTGTTCATTACGAATCGTATCTAGAATTTATGCTCGTCTAACGATCTCCAAAAATGACCGCCCAGAAATAGATGCCAAGACTTGAAAAAACAAAAGCTAGAGGTATGAAAAGAGAAACAAATAACTCCACTCGTCATAAATCAGACCCGAAGCTCGGCTCCTGCGGCTTTCCGCAGCCGGTTCATCACCGCCGCGGCCAGGTCACCTTGCTGATCAGGCACCCCCTCGACATAGATGACATCCACCCCTACTTCATCCATTGCCCGCAGCGCTGAAAACAATCCCTGGGCAATCGACTTGATGTCCGGACCGAGATGGCAGTCGAAGGTCTGTTTCGTCACCACACAAGCCTTGATCTTGTCCTCAACGGGGACAGGGAACGAGACCAGATTCTTCATCAAGCTTTCGACGGGTTTCGCGCCGCTCTGGATCTCCTCCTCCGAGACGAGTCCCAGCCCCTGCTTCCACTTGCGCGTACGCACCACCCCGATGCTATGCGCGCCGACCGCCGAGTCCTCCAGGTCCTTGCGGATGTGGTTTCGGATGCCCTCGTCGGTGGATTCGGGCTCGAAAAGGACCACCCGAGCCTTGGGGGAGTAGTGTCGATACTTCATGCCCGGCGCACGAGGCACCTCCTTCACATCGAGCGTGCCGTCGTGATATCCGACCTGCACATTCTCCCATCCCGGGCATTGTCGCAACTCCTCGATGCCGATGCCCCCGGGACGGAGGATCGCCGGGGGATCCGAGAGTCCGTCGATGACTGTGCTTTCGACTCCGACTCCACAGGGACCCCCGTCGAGGATGAGCTCTATGCGGCCTTGCAAATCATGGTGTACGTGCTCTGCGGCTGTCGGAGACGGTTTCGTCGAGGCGTTGGCCGAGGGGGCCGCGAGTGGTCGGTCTGCGACATGGATCAACAAACGGGCCAGCGGCGACGATGGCATCCGGACGCCGAAGGTAGTGAGGTTCGAGGTGACTTCGTTCGCAAGGGGGGATCCGGAGGGGTTCGGAACGAGGATCGTGAGAGGACCGGGCCAGAAGCGGGAGATGACCGAGTCGTAGATGGCGGGGAGCTTGTTCTGAGCGGTGCTCGTAATCCGCGTGGGACTGTGATGGACGGGGTTGAGGATGCGCTCCAGCATTCCAAGGGAATCCACGTGGATGATTAACGGGTTGTCGGATGGCCTCTGCTTGGCCTTGTAGATCCCCTGCACGGCGTCACTGCGAGTGGCATCGGCCCCTAATCCATACACTGTCTCCGTGGGGAATGCGACGGGGATGTCGCTCGTCTGCAGAAGCTGTGCGGCTTCTTCGATCGCAGCCGCTTCGGGGGTGTTGTTGTTGCATTCATCAGCCCACCATTGCGCGAGTGACCGCTCACCAGGACCTTCCTTGTTGAGTCGGCGAACCGACACGATCCGCGTGTCTAGCTTGGGAGACATAGTGGCTGTGGTGGTAGAAGAGGAAGAAGAAGCGAACCGGACAAAGCTGCGCGGGAATCCGCCAGCGAGAAGACGAGAAAGGAACAACACCACTTTGAACCGACAAGGGGGATATCAATTGATATCCGAGACCATAAGGGAGAAAGAATAGGCTAGTCGCGGGGTTGGGTCAATATGGTCGACAAAAATTCTCCAAGTGGGGGGGTAAAGAGTCACAAGGGTGCAAGATTATTCGTTCACTCTTTCATATATGTCAGATTGGATCCAATTTCTCCTGGCTCCTTTCCCCACTGGACTGATTCGGCCCGAGGGACTATTTGGCTGCTAGGAAAAAGCGCAATCAAATGTCATTTCCCGATGACTCGAGAGAGACTTTCGCGCCAAAAAAATTCGCGATGACGTCGGCTGCCTGGTGACTAAGCGCAGGCATCCAGGCCTGGTCCGGTATGTCCCTCTTCTAATCAGCCAACTTGCAGTCAGTCTAGTATGATATTCGATTATTCTGATATCATCTTACTCCTAGCCTGGCTCTATAATATCATCTTTTAATTTGCCACAAGATGGGTCCAAACCCGCCAATGCTTGTTCCTCCGTATGGGCACGTCATTGGTGTTACAACAAGATGAGCCATGGACTAGGCGGCACATCAATATCAGGTGCAATCCATACGAATCATCTATGCAACATACTAAATTGAATATCACGAAATCTGATAGACGAAGGCGTTGAGTGACCGAAGCGCTCTTTGAGCGTGTCAAAAGAATAGAGAATGTCATAGTAGTAAGACAAATGTTTAGGGATTGTTTATCACAGAGTTTGGTTTCTAGTCGCTATGGAATGCACGGTCCTAGTTCCGTATCTGTGCGCATGGAGATCATGTCATCAGAGCATTTGTTCATCTCTGAAGGGAATCGAATGGTCGAGGATTAATCGCTCAAAACCTATTTCTTCTTTCCTCCTTTACCTCCTTTGTTTCCGCCGCCGCCGCCACCACCACCACCTTTCCCTTTGCTCTTATCACCTCCGCTGGCCCCTGCACCAGTCATGATGCGTACCTTGCCCACAGGGACTGAGTTAATGATCTCAGTATCCTTCCACCCCTTGATCAGCTCGCCTTCACGCTCGCGGAGCTTCTCGGCTGCTGCCCGATTAATGCCAGCGTCCTCAGCATGCTCCTTCTTTACCTTGCCAGTCGTCGTTTCGGCGACCCATCGTCCAATGATCTCCTTGACAGCCTTTCCCTTCTTCACAGTACCAGGCTGCAACTTGATCTTGTACTTGTATCGACCCAGGGCAGCCCAGGGGGCGCACACCGGGATGGCCGCAAGGATGTCATCGTCAGGATGAGGCGTTCCAATCATGGCAGGAATCCATTCGAGATCCGCAGCTTCCGCGGCGGCCGTCTCCTCATCGTAGTCGTCAGCACCTCCTTCGAAGAGAGCCTGTCGTTTGCGCTCGGCCTCCGCTGCTCGCTCATGCTGGGCTCTGCGACGCTTCTTCTGGGCCTCAGCTTCCTGTTCACGCTTGGCTTTCGCTTCAGCCTCTGCGGCGGCCTTGGCGGCCTTCTCGCTGTTCACGCCCAGCAAGCGGAGTGCCAGCTCCCGCTCGTCTTCGTCCTGGTCTGCGTACTTGGCTGCGACCTTCTTTGCCTTGCCCTTCTTGCCCCGAGTGGGGCCCGCTTGCTTGGTATTCGTAGGCTTGGCCGGTGCACCGTTCGACCCCGGCTTCTTTGCGCTCTCTTCAGTTTCCTTGGGCGTAGTTTCCTGGGAGTCGAGTGGCTGTCCTTTTCTGAGAAGACGACGCTCTCGAGCGGAAAGTTGTCGCTTGCCCTGATCTTGAGTGGAGGCTAAGCTTTCTTCCGGCAGAGTCTCGTCCCCAGCTGTCGTCTCCTTTTGAGGGGACTGCTCCTCCTGCTTTCCTTCCTCCTCGGCATCCTCGTCACCCGACGGGCTGTCATTAGCATTGATAGAGTTGCCGGCTTCCGCTTGAGCTGGCTCGGACAGTCCCCGTTGGAGCGGGTTTCTCTCCGTGATAGCCTTATCTTCCTCAGCTTCTTCATCCGACTCTGAGACCGGCTCCTGCTCCTGCTGCTCTGGTTCATCGGGGCTCTCAGGTTGATCAGCTTCCGCCGTCTCGGATTTCTCTTCAAAGGGCTCTTTGCCTTCCGCTGCTGCGGCGGGAGCACCGCCTTCCTCAGCGATCGGCTCCGCAGCCGCAGGCTCGTCGAACTGGCGTAGCTTGTGGTTCCGTAGACTCTCTTTACTAACCTGGAACATGACCGCAAATCCCAGGACAAGCTGGGAGGGGGCCAGGAAATTCTTCTCGCCCTTGATGACGAATTCGCCAGTAGGGACAAGACCACCCACCTCAGCGGTTTTGGAGACTTGGCTGGCATTGACCCAGTAAGCGGACATGATTGCCTTGGAATCCCAAGCACTCGATGTAGCAACACATAGATTCCCAGCTTGAGAGAGTGTGCTCGGGGGGATGGGCGCGTTGGGCGTGCCCGCTCTGTTCTTGACGATCATTGGCGTAGCACCTTGAAGGTCTGCATGCACGAAGACATCGCCTTTCTTGAGGTACCGCCGGTATAGCATCTCGCTCTGCATAGCATCACGGCCACTAGTCCTAGTCAGAATAGATAGTTCAAGATGTCTGAAATCGAAATACTTACCCGAGAACCAGGTATCCCTCAGAAGAGACGAAGAAGAGGAATTTCTCGAACCAGAAAAGCTTTCTAGCCGGGCGAAGAACCTGCTTCTCTTGCTTCAGGTTCCGTTTCAGATCCTGCGTCACTTTCTTTTCGTGGCTCTTGAGCGCCTTGGCAGAGGACTGCGTCGTCCGCTGTTCCTTCACAGCGGCCTGTTTCTTCTGCTCGTAGTACTGGGTCGCATTCGCCCATGGGGAGAGTCCAAGATCGATGTCAACCACCAATACATCGGCCCTCTTTTCAAAATTCTCTTCGTCCTCCTTCTCATCTTCCGACTCGTCCTCGTCTTCGTCATCCGAGAAGAGCTCCTCGCCGTCACCTTGCTCCTCATCGCCAGCCTCTCCCAGAACCAACGTGATCGTATTCTCATGAAGCTTAAGAGGCAACTTGATAATCCTCGCAACGGGGTTACCCCGGCTCTGTTCCATCTCAATCAGACGCGCAATTTCCACCCAGTCCATTCCTTGCGCAATCAGACCATTGACCGCATCCATGGCCTCCTGCACCCGGTAGACATTGTCCTCGATAGCGGCCGCCTTCCGAATATGCAGCCCCTGGACCTCCTGCAGGGCACCGATCCGCTTCGCATGCTCCTGCCGGACAGCATCCAACTTTCTCTTCGCGGCCTCCTCGCGCTCCGTGAGCCGCGACTCCAGCTTCTGCGACTCAATGGAAGAGAAATACTCATCGACGGTCTTGTTGAAGTTCTCAAACTCCAAGATCGTGACCCCGGGCTTGCCCTCAAACTGGCGCGGCTTGAACGGATGAAAGTCCTCATACAGGAGCGCCGGCGGCTTCTTGCTCGAGGCCTCCCCGTCATCCTCCCCCTCCTTCTCATCCGCAGTCCCCTTCGCCTTGGGCCTCGTATCCTCCTTCGCAACAATATACCCAGGATGCCCCTGCCCAACGGACAACCTATCCGTCTCCCCCTTCGCCACCTCCAACACCTCGACCACCCGTCCCAACAAATCCCCATCTCCACCATCGCTCAAAACCTGCTCCAACGGCGTCGCCGGATCCAACCCCACCACCGCAAAAGCATGATCCAGCAACAGCGGCGGATACTCGGGGAACCCCTGCGACAGCGCCTTGCGCAGCACATCCGTATTCTTCTTGCGGGACTTCTTCGGCGCGGCATTACTGCCTCCTTCCGCCGTAAACAACTCCCTCGCCTTCTCAACCGTCTCCCGCACCCGCTGCGCCGTGATGGCCGGCACCCCGTGGTAATTCTGCTTATTGTCGACCGCGTACCTCATCCCGACGCGCGTCTCCTCCTCCTGCCCGTCGCCCGCCGCGACCTGCCGGAACAGCGCGAGGATGGTGTACTCCCGGTCGGTGAGGATGATGTTGCCGCCCGCAAAGAACTCGAGGAACAGGTGGTACTGGCCGTCGCTGAAGGCAAAGTCAATGACGCGGTCCGTGCCGAGCTGCTGGACGGCTGTCACGCGCCGCGACTTCAGGAACTTGCGCAGGCGCGTGACGAACGGCGACGGCGCCGACGCCGTCGCGCGCGAGTACTGCGTCACATGGCAGCGGAAGCCCGAGTCGACGACGAGCTGTTTGCGGTGGTCGGGTTTGGCGAGTTTGAAGAGGAAGATTCTCTTTTCGGGTGGGACAAAAGGGTTAGATTGGGTTGAAGCTGGGATCCTAGGGTTAAGTTTGCAGGGGAAAAAAACTTACCGAGGAAAGATCGTAGATGTTCGACACTCGCAGGTTGACGAGTTCCGAGGCAAGTTCCTGGGTGATGACCTGGACAAGCACAGTACATCGGTCAGATACGTGGGGGTTGGTCCGGGGGGAAGAGAGGGTGCAAACTCAAAAAGCTGAGCACAGAACAGAACAGACCTTGACATCCAACGAAGAGAATCTTTGCTTCATGTTGGGGTATTGGGGTATTGATTGGTTCCCCTCGAATCTGTTAATTAGTGGTGCGCTGAGGGAGGAGGGAAAGAAAAGTGATTCGATAAGCCCAAAGAGTGCTTGCTGAAATTGTCCCTCTCGGACGGCGGAGAAAGCGGGCGTGACGTATGCGGGGCTGGATCTCGCCTATGGTTTGTATCGCTTTTCCATTGTATTCGAACGTTATCTTCTCGATGAACTCCGCACGTGCGTATACTCATCTGCTTTGGATACTATAATCTATATTGAGCAATTGGACTTTTTATGCCAATTAGGTATATCTTTCGATTTCGGTGAGTCTATTTCGTCGAATTTGGCCAGGAATTCGTCTGTACTCGACTCACAGTGCCGCAACCAAGCGCTCGCAATATTCACCCCTGCGAAAAAGAACATTTATGGGAGTATCTATAACAAGTCAAATTCCCCCGAAACAGAGTTTCCATCAAAAGCAACGATATCTCTTTCAAGAGAAACATTGTAAAAGAAAAATATCATGCGGATCAATACAACGCCAGGACCAGCCAGAGAACATAAACAAGACACATTAGAAAAGAAGCCGACAGAACCACGTTCTCATGCATGAGTATCAAAACATCAGTACACACTCTTGTCTCCACCAGTTTTACATCTGCCGCAGACCCTCCGCCAAACGGCGCTTGCCCAGCTCCCACGCATTGAGCAGACCCTGTTCCGACAAATCGATGCTCTTCAGGTTGGGCGCATCGGGGGCGGGAGCGCGGCTCACGCGCGAGGCGATCAGCACGGGGTCCGTTTCGAGGATGATACCGTCGTCGATGATCTCGTCGATGGCCAAGGCGACCAGGTCGTAGTTCTCGACGATTGTGCGCTTGTCGGTGGCACCCCTGCAGACAGAGCAAAGTGCCGTGTTAGTTACCGCTCGTTGGCCCGTGGGGCAATCATGCCTGAAGGGGAAAACGCACTTGAATAAGATCCCGAGAGCATCCCGGAGAGACAAGACAACGTTGTAGAGCAGGACTTCGTTCTCATCGGCGCTGCCAACCACGTAGAGCATCACGTCGCTCTCCATCTTGAACACCACGATCCGGTTGTCGTAGAGGATCACATCGCTGGTCTGCTTGTTCGTCTTCTCGAGGAGACCCTGCTCGAAAGCCTTCTGCTCCTTCAAGGTGGGATAGGGGTTCGCTCCGGGATAATCGGTCGAGTTGGGGGCAGTGCCGGCCGGGGGGTGAGGAGGGGAGTAGTACTTGGCGAAGATGCGGGACCCGTCGTCGGCCGACATGAGAAGGACGGCATTGACGGAGAAAAGAGACAGAGAGCCGGGCATGGTGGCTAATGGGCCAGAGAACGACTGGTTTCGAGAATTGGGGTGAGTGGTGACTGCTCCGATAGGACTTACACCTCCGTACTACTATTTACAAGCTGGCCGCAATCCGGCCGCCGCGTCAATGTTTCTCCGGCCTACACTATACAATGAAGCACCTACGACCTGTACCAACAGTCACTTCGGCTCAAGCAGAATCTCGATTTCATCTTCATTTCCTACCTAACATATACAAATAGCTCTCTGAGGCCTTTTGTCATGATATCTCAAATTTACAAGCTCTATGAAATATAGTTAGGATACTAAGGCACTCCTGATAATGAGCAGCTCGTACCTTTCACCTCAATTTATGTCTTCGCCATCCTCCAAGAGGCACCATCATGAAGCTGAAGAGGCTTACCGGACAGCTAGCGAGAGAAGGCCCACATCATTTAGGAAGAACGGAGTCCACCTGGAACTCAGTAAATTTCACGGTCTGGGATCGAACACTTATTTCGCGATCGTCTGGCCCTGGCTGGTGCTTTCGAACTTGAGTACGCCTTCCTGAGCACCGAAGATTACTTTGATCTCAAGATCAAGTTTGTATGTTAGTTTCCCGTGGATAACTTTGTTCTGGAAAAGGGAATAGATGCGTGCTGGCAAAGTCCGTTATGATCTTGCCAACGGGATAGATACCTATGATAGAGAATCAGATGGTCAGTCAATCGATAGTCTACTGTCAGAGCTGCAGAGATTTACGGGCTGTAGTTGGTTGAAAAGTAAGAGGCAGAGGCAAATTGGCAGTTATCGGAGCCTCTTTAATAAACGTTACTCCGGCTTTGTGCGCGTGTTTCCGCAGCTCACCGAGAGCTACCACTAAGGCGTTTGTCCTGGCATGAACTACTGGCAACCGTTGCAGAATGCGAAGCCTCAAATTGCCCATAATATCGCTGAAAACAACGATCCGACATCGGGGTATGTTAAGTGACCTAACCTACCTTGAAAGCTTCTAGTGTGAACGTTTGTTCTGTCGCAGGCATAAGTCTATCGTGTTGGTAGGGGAAAGCAAAGAGGACACACATGGGCTATAGCTGAAGACAGAATGTCATAAAACTGAGTTTCTATCTACTCTATAGTACAAGAATTGAGGTGCCAAGTGCCAAGCACATCAGTAAAGGGAGAACAAGCGGGGCCTCGTAAAGCACGTCCATTCCACTCGCGATGGGGGATGTATATAAGCGCAATTGTATGTAAGTATGTTCATCAAAACAATGAGGGGCATGATTCAATAATGGTAGGGCGAATTTCGTTGGCCATCCCAGTATACAATGGTGTTGAAGAAGCGAGTGACCTTAAAAAACAATTTCCCATATAGCCAGGGCATTCATCACATCATTCCGGTTCAAAAGGGTGTGTGGGTCGTCTATCACATAACCAATAGCAGAGAAAAGTAAAACAAAGCATTTTCTCTTTCAGAAAGCGGGGTTGGGTTGCGAAAAGCGCCAGACTTGCCATGAACTGAGAGCAAGCTGGGCCCATCACCAACTCGAACACCATGATGATGATCAACACCAAAAGAATTGAGGTAAGGGCGGGAGACAGTAAGATGGTGACTGTCGGAGAAGTATCCCAGAAAGGTCATCCAGGTAGAAAAACTGGAAATAAGGCAAGCAAGCAGGTCGGAAGTATTAATGAAGAGATACTGATGTTTTCCTCATGCAATCGAGTTTTTCGACTTAATCATGAGGAAGGTACTCGGGCCTGAGATTTTCAGGGCATCAGCTCAATCAGATAGGAGATTGGCTTTCGCCGCTGGTAGGCGGGCGGTTGAACCAAGGGATCCAGCTTCCGCGGTTGGCCTTCTTCCGAGCAGCCTCCTCCTCCTCTGCCAGTCTCGTGGTTTCGCTGACGAGACGCAACGGACGCAACTTGTTCTGCGTCATTACGGCGCCCGTGTAGTTAGTCATACCGTTGCTGGAGCGCGGAGAGCTGGAGGTAGCGCCCGTGGAAGCGGTCTCCGCGGCATGGTCGCTAGTGATACTATCTGAGCTGCTCAAGCGACTATGCTCGGGCTGGCTTGAAAGCGAAGGCGCACGGCTAGCACTCATGCTGGACATGTAGCTTGCGTTAGAGAAAGCGCTCTGGCGTGACCCAGGACCCATCAAGGTAGGGCTGATAGGGCCACCCGAGTTCCGGCCCCGATACATCTGTCCAACCACTGCTGCAACATTGACATCGGTTTGCTCGGATCTAGTCCGGCGGTGACCCCGAATTGACTGGGCACGCAGAGGGATGCTAGGGGCCGTCTCCGGGTTTTCGTGGGCGGTGGGCACACTGGTCGGAGGTGGCATATAGCTGGTGGGGCGTGATCGGGGCTGGGTCTGAGGACGAGGAACGTTGGAGTTCGGTCCGCCCGCGACAACCGATTTAGCCCGCTGGAGGAAGGTCTGCGAGGAAGGATCCTCTTTCTCCAGAGGAGTGGGAGGCAGATCCTTGTTGTGCCCAACAGGAAGTCGCTTGGCGGGCGGATCGTTCTCGTTCTTGTCGAGTATAGTCTCGAACCCGTCATGCTGCAGGAGGCGGCTGATGATCCGCTCGATGTACAGAGTCAAGGCCTTATTCTGGTCCTTGAGCGCCTTGACTTCGGCCTCGAGCTTGCGCGTGTTGTCCGTTTCAGCTCTTGCATCTACAGACTCAAGCTCATCAGCCAGCGAACCCAAACCGCTGCCCGCGTCCTTGGTCTCGTCTGCAGTGTCAGGATGGACTTCACGCATGAAATCACCCTTTGTAAAATCGCCATTCAAGGTTCGCTCACTCAGAAGCAACTGGTAACTCTCATTGTCCTCCATCAAGCGAGCGTTGGCCATGCGAGCTTCCAGAAGCTCCTTCTCGAGTTCCCGCTGTCGGCCGCCGCCTTGGTTCTCCATCTCCACAAGCTTGATCTGAGACTCGGCCAATTCGAGTCTAAGGGATTCGATCAGCTTATCCTTCTGCAGCAGCAAATTCGAGTTGTTTCGCGAGGGGCTCCGCTCGATTTGAGAAGAGGGCGCAAACTGTCCGTCGAGATCGGGAGACGACCGATTACGGAAACTCGCTATGAAAAGGTCAGGAAATGTCAAATGGGGCGAGAAAAGATTGAGAATATCTCTTACATGAGCGAGACATGTTCTTGTCTGCATCGGAGTTGATCCGCTCTTTCTGAGCCAACGACTCCTTCAGGCGCTGAATAGTCGCTTGCATCTCCTCTTCCCGGCTTGTTTGTTGCTCCTTCTCCTGCAGCATGGCATTCCGCTCTTGTTCATGAGCCTGCTCCATATCGCGAATCTGGCGCACATGGTCCCGAATTTCGCCGTTGAGCGCATCGAGCTTGCTGTCCTTCTCGTGCGCCTGGTCTTCCAATTTGCCTTGCTCGCTGATTGCCTCGTCAAGTCGCATTTGGAGGACACCTAATTGCTTCTGATATTGTTCGGAGGCCGTTTCGGCCTTCTGCAGCTGTTCCTTCAGGTCATCAATCAGTGCCGCATTCTGGGCTCGTGCCTCCTCCTCGGAGGGGCTTGGTGAGATCTTGGGGGCACTTGACGTGCTTAGGTTGGAGCGACCTGGCTTCCGGGCTGCAGCGCGCGCAGAGACAGGCGTAGACGAGCGCAGGGAAGGAGAACGAGTGACACCATTTGTTGTCGTGCTTGGAGAGCGAGAATGGGTTCTAGAAGGTGCTCCATTGACTGCCTGATTTTCAGTAGTCGAAGATTTGGTGGCACTGGCACTGCCCGGAATACTGGGCTTGCGAGGCGTCGCGGACATGTTGACCTATTCAACCGGACAATGGCAAATTGACCGAAAGCGACGGGTTGGGAGGCCAGAAATGCGAGGCAATTCAGATAAGGGGGAAGGTAGGAGAAAAAGTGCCTCTGGGGATTTGGAGGGAAAAGAGTAGTGCTGTGAAACAGCCGGGAAATTAATTTAAGGAATGGAAGGCCGAGTCACAGTTGTAGTAGCGGTCAAAACAGTGGGCGCACTAGGTAACTATCTCGGTGGGGGAAAGGGTCGGGTTCGAATGGCGGGCGGGCAACGGAGAGGGGGGAAACTAAACTAAGTAAAGTAAGTAGCCACCGTCGAGGGAGAAGGAAAGACGGTGCGTTCAAGTACAAGAACAAACCACGCAAGGATGGAGAAAGAGGAAACCGTTGCGCGGATGTAAGCCGGGTGGATATAGGGGGGGAAGAAAGTTAGGGATTAGGAGCGATCAGCATGGAGAGTGTTTGAGGGAAATAAAATGATGTGGGAGGAGGGGAGAGGAAGTAACTAATAATCAATCTGAGAATTGAGAATTGCATGCAATACAATCAATCAATCAATACAGCTGTCTGTCTGTCTGTCTGTCTGCGGCTGTCTGGCCGTCTCTGTCCGTCCGTCTTGGTCTATCTTTCTGGGTGGGTGACGGGCACGATTGTTCGATTGTTACCGTATACGACCACTGTTTGTCCATGTTTGGCCGGTAATTATGGTAAATTCGGGTCATGTTGGCCTGGGGACTCTTCCCCATGAGCATAATCCCATTATGAAGTCAGTCACTTTTCTTCCAGTGCTCAACCTTCCAGGCCAAAAAGTCTTTGTTAAGCCTGAAGAAGTTGCCATGACTTGGCTTAATCAAACTCTCATTTCTTTCTCATCTCATCCATCTCCGCTGGGCTACAAAAAGGTGGAGAGAATGTCCTTTTCATGGAAATAGTGCCCGAATGCGGATCAACGATAGCAGCAACTTTAACAACACGGATTCCCCAACCAACCAACTAACCAACCAACTTTTCTCACCTGGACGACAACAACACGAACCCAATCGACACATGGCAACGATAAAGATAGCAGCCACTCTCGAATCACCACTCTCTCCCTTCAATCCCCCCTCAACTTCCTTGCTGCAGCCAGGGTCTGGCCGTCTCACGACTGCCACCCAATCATGAATCCCCGCTTGTCAGGGGGCGGAGGAAATCCAAAAATGCCGACAACTGCGCCACGTCTGCATTACACTTCCGGCTGTGCATTGTTGTAAGGCTATCCCACGATACGATATTTGATGCGATGTCAGCCAGCAAGGCGCCAGAAACAAGCCCTCTTGCGCGTGAAGAAAGGACCTGGTGCCCTGGTGCTATTCAGTAGTGTATCCCGTCAACTGACTGCCTAGGCAACCCAGTGTATACTATCCGCACTCTCGCACAATCCGAGGGTCCATCCGTGAATGAGCACTGTTAGCACCAGGGAACCTACTCTCCGCTGTCTAATTTCGCATATTCAATCTCCCATGACCGGAACTGCTTCCAAGTGCGATCAACTCAACCCCTGAGTTTTGACGCCTGCCAGCCTTCTATGATGGCATGACCATCTACTTCCCGCTATGGAGAAATGAGCGTCCTCCAATTATCTATGTTACAGTCCAAAAGGCTTCAATTGTGCCATGACCAGTTGCGATTTCAGGAAAACTTCCACCCCGTATTGCAGTGGCTGCTTGATTACACAAAGACAGAACCCTGCCTTGTATGCTCCGATCGTTCAAGCAGCACTGCATATGTTCTTACATTTCTCTATTAGTCTCTTTAGACTCAACATCGATCTGGTACCCATATTTGCTTGCTGCAGGATACCGCGGTTCACAAGCAGCGCCAACGGCGTCAATAGTTCGGTGAATGACATCAGCCACAGTATAGATAACCACGGCTTTCTGGGTCAAGGAGCGCTTACGAGTACGATCTCTTGTACCTTGGTGGCTGAGTCGACGATACCACGGGAAGTATGCTCGGAGCCAGTAGTTGCTTGCGGGAAGATCTCGCAATGGAAGTCAATGCCAGTACTCAGCTCGACAAGCAAACTTCCAGCCTACTTCATCCAGCCAATCTTATCATATGCAACGAAGACTAGACTGTTATATATGTCGCATTGTTCTAGTTTGTCTTGTGTTGCATATGTAAGAGTTGGACCAGTCTCAATCTGTCACGGCATATGCAACATGGCTATAGCTCACGCGCGGAGTGCATATACTCCGTACAAGCGGGCAGATTCACACAGGCCCCTGGGTACTGAAAAGACACGCAAGCCGAACACATATCGACTTCAACCATGTCGGAACTACTTCGGTTACGGATCTTGAAGGAAGTTTGGTACCAGGGCAAAACACATACCTCAACAATTGCTGGAACCGGGCACCAAAGAAGGCAGCCTGAAGATAACTTGGACGTTCCGTCGGCTAGTCTACGGCCAGGCCCAACTTTGGGAAATAGGATCACGTGCCGCTCGCCCGCACAATATCGACGATGCCAGAGGGTCACGTGCATTAGTCAGTGGTGCCGGAACGGAAGAAGTGGGATCCGCGATTTGTCGAACCCACAAAAAAGAGCGGTAACAGGCTTTTTCGATTCTATCCCCATTCCAAGACAAGGCCGGAGCGCACTCTCTTTACAACAAAACCACATTCAACCTTTAGGTATGTGGTTTCTCACCAAAAGCCATGGCTGAGTGACGACTCGCTCTTGACCATTGCCAGATTTCATCTGGCTTTCGGTCGATTGTGGTTGTTCATTCTAGCGCTTGGTTTGGAAAAAAAAATCCCGAGCGAACATTTGCTGATTCAAATTTGATCACGCAGAAGTTTAGTCTTCGACAGCGTAACGATGGCCCCCAAGAGCAAGAAGACCGGTGACACCATCAACTCGCGCCTGGCGCTTGTTATGAAGTCCGGAAAGGGTATGTTGCAAGAACTCGAAATCCTTGAAATATTGATATCCATGACAGTCGCTAACTGTTGTCATCTCAAAAGTCACCCTCGGCTACAAGTCCACCATCAAGACCCTCCGCTCCGGCAAGGCCAAGCTGGTTATCATCGCTGCCAACACTCCCCCCCTCCGCAAGAGTGAGCTCGAGTACTACGCCATGCTTGCCAAGACCCCCGTTCACCACTTCTCTGGTAACAACGTGAGTAACACTTGTTGTTGTCGTCGTCGTGGCGCAGTGGTCGCAACACGATAAGACGATATTGTCATGATCTGAAGTAGGTGACTGACTTTTCTCTATAGATCGAGCTTGGTACTGCTTGCGGTAAGCTCTTCCGCACCAGCACCATGACCATCCTCGACGCTGGTGACTCCGACATCCTCTCCAGCCAGTAGGTGCAATAAGGATCATGCCAATGACTTTCATGTTATGTCTGAATGTGTTGAATGTCGTCAAGATGCGACACTCGTTATGACATGCTTTAGATAATGACAAGAAAAAAAATCCTTTCCACCGAATTTGATGTGCACAGGCAATAGAATGCCGCGTAGGAAAAGGCCAAGAATGGACCAGAATCTTACTACCAGTTTGTAAGAGCGTAGGCGTATCGAGCGGCACGGACTCCATCCATCCTCTGCGTGTGCAGCCACCAACCAAATGCCAAGAAACAATCACATCTGACTCAACAATCTACAAACACTAAAACCTTCTCGTTCTCACTCAAATGACACCATCATTTCCCACGCCTCCTTCATTAGAAATCAAAAAGATCTGTTGATACTGTAATCCACGCAGGCGACAACTGGTCAGAATGTCTCCGACTCTGACAAATGCCGTCATGGGCCAGCGCGGGCGGTGATTGGCGGAGAGGCTAGGGTTTAGGGCTGCGCCACTCGGTAGCGGGCGGACGGATTGCTTGGAAATCAACGTCGAAAGTTCTCCTGCCCGCCCGCGAGAAGACCTTTTTCCTTTTCTCCCTTTGGACCTCCCGACACCACCTTTCTCGACAACCCACCCCCCAGGAAGCCAACTTCCCAACCGTCAAAATGGCCCGCCGTCCCGCGAGATGTTACCGCTACTGCAAGAACAAGGTGCGTTGAGATTGCGTCCGGAATATTGGTTTTGTGTGTGTTTGTGCGTGAGGACCGATGCCTCAGTTGTGTGGGGTGGAGAACGAGGATGGATGGACGAGACACCCGTGTCGAGGCAGAAGGAGGATCGCGATGGATTCGCATATCAATAAAAACAAAACAAGGGAGACAAGGGGAATTAACAATAACTAACATCGCGACTTCTCATACAGCCCTACCCTAAGTCCCGGTTCAACCGTGGTGTTCCCGACCCCAAGATCCGTATCTTCGATCTGGGACGTAAGAAGGCCAACGTCGATGACTTCCCCCTCTGCGTTCACCTCGTCTCCAACGAGTACGAGCAGCTGTCCTCCGAGGCCCTCGAAGCCGCCCGTATTTGCGCCAACAAGTATGTCGTCGCCAGCTTGGACTATCGTCCACCGAGCCCAGACTAACGCAAACGAAAATAGGTACCTCGTGAAGATCGCCGGTAAGGAAGGTTTCCACCTCCGCGTCCGCGTCCACCCCTTCCACGTCATCCGTATCAACAAGATGTTGTCCTGCGCCGGAGCCGATCGTCTCCAGACCGGTATGCGTGGTGCCTTCGGTAAGCCCCAGGGTACCGTCGCCCGTGTCAACATCGGCCAGATCATCCTGTCCGTCCGCACTCGTGACTCCAACCGCGCCACCGCCATCGAGGCCCTCCGCCGCTCCATGTACAAGTTCCCCGGTCGCCAGAAGATCATCGTCTCCAAGAACTGGGGCTTCACCCCCGTCCGCCGCGAGGACTACGTCCAGCTCCGCCAGGAGGGCAAGCTCAAGCAGGACGGCGCCTACGTCCAGTTCCTCCGTGGCCACGGTCTCATCGAGGAGAACATGAAGCGTTTCCCCGACGCCTACGAGAACCTCTCCCAGGCTTAGATGTCTGGTTGCGGTTCGAGTGTTGATGGGGAAAAAGAATGTTGATTAGCATTTTACATCGTGTTCTTTCTTTTTTTTTTATAATGTGATCGGAAACTACCCTTTTGAGACCATTATGATTCCCCCTCTTCTGGCACATTAAAGAAAAGAAAGAGAAACCGTTTCCCCTAAGCTTAGTCTCTGGATCTGTACGCTCTCAGATTTGAGCCGGAACCTCTGGTTCACGACGTAGACAATACCACCGCTCTGTAGACCGCGACACCCCCCTGCAGAGACTCACGTCATGTCGGTTCTCCAACCTTGTCTCACGCTTACCAGGCAGCCCTCGTTACAGTCCAAACCGATCCGCAAGGTTGACTTGCAATCCAGCTCAATACTCATACTCAATAGACGGATACTGCGTCATCTGCCATTCTATAATTATGTACAATACCTGATGGATCAAGCATAACGATCAAACCAATCCAAGAATCTGTACCAGTCAAGTACTCCAACTAGTATGGTCTAGACTCAACACGCACGCAACTGGGACTTTGTTCATTTCCGCTGCGATTTATATACCTGGTTAATATTATCTTCGCATAGCCACTGGGTTTGAAGTTGATGGTCCTGTCTGGTACTTCTAAATCATAGTTGCAGCTTTCGACCACGATCAAGAGGATCTCGGATCTCCCGTATATATAAAATCATGTGGTTCGATGCGGGGACGGACATATTGATCCAACTGTTGTAGAACCAAAACATCTCCATCTTAGAATTGTTAACAGGCGATATAGTAGTATTCAGTGCTGGAAGTATCACATGTGTGATGATTACTGTTTCTAGTCGAAATATACCCTCATTCAGAGAGAGATAGCCGCGGTTCCCATAACGATACCTAAGCGATGTACTTCTGCGAGCCACATTGTCAGGTTAATTATTGGCAACATTTTCGGAGACTCCGAATAATAAATGCATTTCATCGGAAACCAGATAGTGAGACAATGAGCCTCGTTGGAATGCTCTGTCTTCGTACGATTGACACATATGGTTTCTATCCCCCATGAACCTAGACGCCCGCTAGATTGTGCCCCTGTTGCGACCATCCACGAACAATATCACACCCTAGGTAGTATGGACCTGCCGACTTCGCCGTTGATGATTTAATGAGTTGCCTCTATCCCCTCCCTAGAAAATCGCTGATGGTGATGATAATGATAAAATTGGAATAATAGATGAGATGATCCCAACAAGAAAAACTGCTAGATATGTACTCGTGACTGAGACGACAATAGCCCAGAAAATTGTGCTGATATGTGAAAACCCAAGAATAGTAGCCAAGACTCCCGGTATGAGACAATAATAGTAATACGTTCGATGGCCAGCATGCATTATGTGATGTGCAACTCAGAAACTACACACTCAGGGGCCCGATCACACGTCTCCCCAAGCTCCAACCCCAGCTGCGACGGGTGCAACCGCACTTCCGCTGTCAATGCTCCCTCCAATATCCCAGTAGTTTCGACTGGAGCCCGTCATTGTCCGACGGCTGGAGATAGCAGACATCTTTGCGCTTTGACTTGCACAGCTGGAGCTAGGTCGACGGAATCGTTGGCGGAGGACGGGCGACGAGACCCCGGTTGGTCCTGAATGATGGGAAGAGTATTGGGACTGGCGTCGGATCTGTGCTTGGGAGCGAGCGTGTGCGCGCGCAACAAGAGGATGATGTTGACGGATAATTGCGGCGCGGCGAGAGGCATCCTGCGTAGGACGGTGCGATGTGTTATGGATCGAGTCGGTAGTATTAGGTCTCTGGCTGAAGCGATTACGTAGGTAGCGGAAGACCACCGACACGTCTAACTCCCGCTCCCAATATTCCCTTTCCTGATGAATACGTGCCGATTCAGACGATGGATCGCCTGCCGAGCCGCTGCTACCACGGACCAAATCGTCATCGTCTTCAATACCCCATAGAGCCGCGTGCTCTCGGCTATCAGGGACCTGTAAAGTGGGAGTGAACTGAGGCGACAAGGTTGATTCCGCATTGTTCGTTGACTCAATCATAGTCGCAGGCTCAGCTGAAGCAGATAACCGATTGTCTTCTTCGGGGAGGCGTTCAAGGGGAATGCCAGCATATTGATTGGGGATATCATGGGATAGGTTGAGATAGGTTGTGAATGCACCAGGATGCTCACAGAGCTGGTGGACAAGTATACCCAATTCGCGCGCAATGCGCTGCAGGAGCTTGTTCTTCCATGGCGGGCTTTGGTCCGACGCGGAATCCAGCTCCTGGTTTATCGCCTCATTGAAGTCGAACTCACTATTCGACCGCGCTGATGTGTGCATCTCTGCGTCTTCGGTACACGGTAACGACTCCCCGAAAAGGACAGAAAGCAAGGAATCATCGATCCCGATCAGATCTTGAATTACCTTGCGGGTGATGCGTTTCCATAGAGATTCATCGTTGTCAGTTTCTTGTTCTGCTGTCGAAGAAGAGGCAGGTGTCTGAGACACCTCCAAAGACTCGGCAGGCGAAATCGGTTGTTCAGCTTGTCCACTGGGCCCACTAGCACGGCTATCACGCCGTCTTCGAGTGGCCTTCTCAATCTCGTTCAATAGTGCCCGACTTTGTTCCATCCGCCATCTCTCAATACGTTGCCATCGCTCCCGCTCCACATCTGCTTCTTCGTCGCGTGTGATCGAGTCTAGCTGACGTTGTACGCTTGAACGCCGCCGTGGCTGCAAGTCGGGTCTTCGATGAGGGTTGAATTGCTCGTGTTGCCACAATTGATGTTGTACTGTCTCGCTGGAGGCTTGGAAGCTACCTAGTCCGTCATGAGCGGGCAGTGTGACAGGTGCCCCGGGGTCGTCGTGTACTAATGATGGCGCCCGAAAGGCATGAAGCCCATCATCTAGACTATCTAGCTCGGTGCCGTCATCGTCCAGGGGCTCATCGAGGGCGTCTTCTTCCGCCTCACTTTCCGGGCCAACGGCCGATCGCGTTGCCGTGCCAAAAGAGCCAAAATCACTCAAGCGGGCATATGTTCGTGGCGTGCGATCAGTGGATGTAGTATGGGTGCGGGCGATACTGGAGGGTTGTTGAGTTGGAGAGAAGAGCACCCATTCTGTCGATTCGTGCTCCGGTAGCTGCGAAAGAGGAGAAGGGATATCAAGAGCTGGAGACGGTAGGGAATGCGAATATGAGGGACGACGGCGGGGAACTTGGGGAGGTAAACGAAAAGCCATGAGTTGGCAGTGCAGTGTAGTTGAGTCAAAGAGGAGGCGGATACTCCGTACAGTACGGAGTACGTGGGGGAAGGAGAGATAAGATGGTACTTTATCGATCGCGGCAGATCTTCCCCGCGTGACGAACAAACAGAGGGGGCTCGAAGGAGAATTCTCAGGAAGTATGAGTAAATGAGGAGGACGCAACAAAACTGAGGTTGTCAGGTATATAAGAATATGGAAAAATAAAAGCCGGTCGCAAGAGTGGAATCTGAAACGGGGTAGAAAGTTTCTAGACGGGGAGGGAAAAAAAGAAACAGGAGATGAGAGATGATCAGTCCGATAGCGGTGTATTGTTGGGGTTGGGGCTGATGATGAATTACGGATGACGTGGGATTAGGTTAGGTTAGGTTAGGTGAATGTATATGAGATAAGAATGAAGGTTATGGCGTGGAGTTTTCCTCCGACATCCACCCGAGACAGATCTCTTTCTCGTCCCCGCCAGTGGCATAATCCAACAATGAACAATAGATGGAAGAAAAAAAAAAAGGGAAGGAAGGATGAAAGAAGGAAAGAAAGCAGGAAAGTGAACAGGGAAGACGAAGCAGCAGAAGGAAGAAGACGAAAGACGAAGAAGAAACGGATGATGATTGCATGTCACCAGACCCAATAGAGAAGGCACGACTTGTTCCAGTCTCCAAGCTCAGCTGTCTGTCAACTGGTAATCAATCAAACAAAGAGACAATCATTAACTTCCTTATCGCATCCACAACTATGGTACGGAATACTGTACGGAGTACATACATGAAAAGAGTTCCTCAATCCAAGATAGTGTTAATACTATTGTGGTCGAATGCGGCCTATGCATCTACCCTACTCTCGACTATTGGCCTCATTTTGGCTGAACCGGATGATCGACGGACGTCCGCCATCGCATCTTCATCTCCCTCGATATCTGTCCTCAAATCGTCGCCAATTTACTCCAAAATTACTCTCAGGCAATCATGTTTCTCTGCGTTCGCTTCAGATTCGCCTGTCACCCTCCCCCTCCTTCTCGACCAAGGATCAGCCCAGTGCTGATCATCCCACACCCGCTGTCTCTGCCCTCTGATCTCAATGACATGTCATTCTTGATCTTCCCTGCATGGTTCAAGGCGAGAGCTGACTGACTGTCAAGGGGCAGCCAAGTCCCACCCCACTTTCTACGCAAATTCGACTTCAGTAGTCTGGAAAAGGTGGGTATAATAGGTCGGTCTATCGAAAGCTGCAACCCATCTATCTATTTACAGGGGCTGGGGGGGGGGGGGGGGGGGGGGGGCTGCAGACCAGGAAAAGCAAGCAGACATAGTCTACTGAGTACCAAAAAAATCCTACCCAGACAACGCTTCTCCGACCCAATCCATCTGCACGGCGCTCACCCCACGCGCGTAACTACGGTTCGTAAAAACAAACTCGTTGTACAGGATCGCCTCCACCTTTTTGCCAAACAACACACTCGACGGGTGGATCGCCACTGTCTGGTTCCCCACCACCGTACGATAGCTGCCATCCGGTACGAGGCGCGCCGTGTTCGTAGCGAATCCTCGAAGGAAACTCTTCAGAATGAACATCGGGGAGGAGGAGCCATTGGTGGTAGAAGAGCCCCGCGTGTCGTTGGGGAGAAGCTTGGCTTGTCGGCACTGCGCGGTAAGTTGTTTGCGAACATCCTGTGGCAGGCGTGATGGTTAGTGGACATTCTATACCCGGGACGCATCACTAATCACACGAGAGGAGACATACCATAACAGACTGCATGGCCCGGTGGGAGACGAGATGTCTCTCAGCCCATGCTTTCCGATCCGTATTCTCGGCAGCGTAAGCTTGCACTGTAGCCATCATGGTGAGATGATCGCCTTCCCTCCGATACAGATCCCGTCGCGCAACCTCCGCCTCCTCTTTCTTTTCCTCCGAGGTCGTATTTAGAAAGATATTCTCAACACTGAGACATGATATGATATCGATGACATCTAGCAGACAATCCGTCCCAAACTCAGAAGCGGCCAGCAGCACTCGACCCAGTGTGGGCGTGAGAGGGAGCTTGGCAATGTGCTTCCCGATCGGGCTAATCTTGCCGGTCTCTTCCAAGGCATCAATGCTCAGCAGCTGCAACAACGCCTTCTCCAAAGCCTCTCGTGGCGGTCGCGTCAGGAATGGAAATCCCATAATGTCGTCGACGCCGCGAGCCTTCATGTTGAGCAACGCTTGACTCAAATCACAACGGAGGATCTCCGGAGTGTTGGTTTCATCCAAGTCCAGGTAATCCTTCTCTGTGTAGAGTCGGTAGCACGAGCCGGGCGCTTCACGACCGGCACGACCCTTTCGCTGAATCGCTGCCGACTTGGAAATCGGCTTCACTAACAGGGAATCCAACCCAAGACGCGAGCGGAATTGCTTGACCTTCGCCTTACCACAATCAACCACATGCCGCACGCCAGACACCGTGACGGAGGTTTCGGCAATGTTTGTGGCCAAAATGATCTTGCGGGTTCGAGGCGGCGCCGGAAGGAAGACTCGTTGCTGGGCCGCTTGGGGCAGGGCTGCGAAGAGTGGCAGGACTTGGATTTTCGGGAGGGCAGGGTCCATTCCGACTGCATACTCATTCACGAGATTCTCAAGGGCTTCCACCGTCTCCTGTCCTGTCAAGAAAACGAGGATGTCACCCGGCAGAGGCTCTCTGTAATGAATGTTGAAGATCACCTTGAGCGCTGCGTCGATAAAATCATGGACAGGCTCTGGCGAGTAGATGACCTTCACTGGAAATTGACGACCCTTGATATGGCACGCGGCGATGCCTTGGTCCTCTTTTTTGTCTTCGGATGGGCTGTCTGCCACCTTGCTTTCCTCCGTAGCCCCTTCAATAGCACGTCGGGCCTGCAACCCTTCCTGGAAAAAGCCCGTGAGGGTCTCCATATCAACCGTAGCACTCATTACCACGACCTTCAAGGGCACTCCTCCGCGGCCCTCCAGCTTGCCCGATACCATATTCCTCAAGAACCCCAGCACCTGATCCACATTGATACCGCGCTCGTGCACCTCATCCACCACAATGGCACTATACTTGGTCAACCAGGGGTCATGCAGCATCTCCTGGAGCAGCATCCCCTCCGTTAGGAACTTGACCTGCGTACTCGGTGACGTCGACGTGTCAAACCGCACGGAGTACCCGACCCGACTCGCCGGGGAGGAATTCCCCAACGGCGTGCCCATCTCATCCGCGACACGTCGCGCCAACGAGATCGCAGCGACCCTTCTCGGCTGCGTGATGGCAATGCATCCGCCCACCTGCACCTCCTTCACCTTCTCCACCGCCCCGCCCCCGGCAACCTCCGCAACCATCGCCTTCACCGGCCGACACCACTTCTCCGTGACCAGAAACTGCGGGATCTGCGTACTCTTTCCGCTACCGGTCTCTCCGATCAGCAGCATTACATCGTTCCGGCGCAGGTGGCCGCGGATCTCGTCCGCGTGGGGGAAAATCGGCAGGTTCTTGCGCAGCTGGTAGAGCGCCTGCGCCTTCTCGCGCAGCGGACCGAACGTGTGGTTCTTGGTCGATCCGGGTTTCGATTTCGTTATCGTGCTGTTGTTGTTGCGATGGTGTAGTCGTGGCTTTCCACTGTCCTCGGGCTTTACTTCCTCCTTTCCGGCGTGCTCCTTCTTAGCCTTCGTCCGTAGCGCTGCTTTCTCTGCATCTGCATCTGCGTCCACCACCACGCCGTTCGGCTCGTCCTTCACCCCCGTACCCCTGCCATCGACCTTCCGCTTCTTGTTCTTCTGCTTCTTCTGCTTCTTCAATCCATCCTCCACCGCATCAAACCCAGAATCGGAATCCTTCCGTTTCGTGCGGGCAGGTCCCGAAGGCGATTGCGCTTCTTTTACCTGAGGCTTCGTATTCGGGGGAGAGACTTTGCTGACGGGGATGGCGTTGTCCTCGTCGTCGAAGACGGTGCGGACCCGTTCGGGCATTTTGCGTTTCGATCCCCCCAAAAAGATGTCGCAATTATATGTATAGAGAGATCGTCTGGAGAGAGTAGAAGATCGATAGATGGCGGTTATATTATAATCGCAAACCAAATCCCCATGCCGTGTGAATTGCGACGGCTTTGTTGTTCTTGCGGACTTCCGAGCGGAGGAGAGAAGCGTTCCTCCCAAAACTTTCCCCGAAATTTTTTTGCTGGGGGGCCGCGGCGGTCGGCCCCTTATCGATAAGCTCCCTTGGCGGTGAGGACGGCTGGACTTGGGCTGATAAGCAAAACGTACGGTGGTTTTAGTCGGGCCAAGGAGTTTTGTTCGTGTGTATAGGACAGTCTGAACTTAATATGTGATGACTTTTACTGAGGTTTATGTATCGAGGATGCGTTCGTATCTTTGTTTTTTTTTTTTCTTTTACTCTCATTGTTGCTTCATGGAACGCGTTATGCTGTTCTCTAAGCTCGTGACTTTAATAATGGTTTATATATATCTAGGAAGGATCTAGGTGGCCAGCATATATCTTGTCGAATAACATCGTTAATCAAAACCCATTCAATCGTTTTTCTGTTCAGTCCAAGCCCCATCCACGAACGCGCCGGAAGACAAATGAGCGATCATTCTTGAGACCAAACTCAGCCCAGTCGTCGGTGAGTTTGTTGTAGCTCCAATATCCCTTCCAAGCCAGCTTCGTGTTCTTCGATGGATTCGGCGGTGAGACGTTGGGCTGTTTCGACTTGGCTGCCGGGGTTGACCGGAGCGATAGTTGCAAGAGATACATGTACTTCGGACCGACGCCTTCGGTTTCAATGATAAGGTCCCGAGGATCTGATGGGGATGCGGCGGCCTTGTCAGGCAACGACTCGTATGCAGTGGGCAACTCATTCTGCGCGTCTTCCGACGATGAGTCAGAGTCGGCAACGGGCTTGGCCAAGCGCCACCGACCGCGGTAGGCGTGTCTCAACGCTTCCAGCGCGACATGAGGAATGGCATCCGTGGATTCGGCGCTTACAGTGGCATCTGAGGTGTGGCGAGGGTGTTGTTTCTGTGTCGTCGCTCGGGCGACCTTGACGTTCTCTCTGCTAATGTGAGGGACCACCTCGCGGGGTTCCACTGTAGTAAGTAAATAGACCACGGAGCCGTCCGAATAGAAACGAAGGTATCGGTAGTACGTGACAATATGAATCGGACTATTCCATGAGACATTCTGGTACGCAGCAGCAGCACCTGGCCGAGTGTAGTTGACAGTGCTAATGTAGATACCCGTGTACCGGACCCGGGGAAACACTTGGAAGACCTCACTCCACGAAGACAGAGGTTCGGGAATCTGAACAGGCATCGACCGAGGGAAAGGCGTGTAGCGTGTTCCTAGCGTATGCTCCGGGTTACCGTGAATGTCGCAAGCAAATGAATAGTGCATAGATTTGAAACCGAACTCCGAGCCCTGACAGAGTCGCCTCCAGATATGCTGCTCATGCGCAAAGTGGTAAGCAAAGCGCTTGCAGACCAGTGCCATTCGGCAAAGGGCCGCCGGATCCATCAGTGCCACATGCCTCAGTATCTCGACTAGAACCTCCGATGGAACGTGAGAAATAGGACATGGTGGAGGTGGAGTATTCTCGATCAGCGGTTCCGCTTGAGGGATCGGGAGATGAGCGAAAGATGCGATGAGCTCAGGTGTCGGTAAGACGGGCGTCTCCTCTTGGGTCTGTTGATCGGTTGACTTGCCAGCCGTAGCGCCCGTTGTAGGAGCCTGTGTAGGTTTCTTCCACGCCGTGGCGAAATACTTGTTACGGTATGTCTTGTCGACCGCGGAGTCCAACTATGGAGGGAGCCCAAAGTCAGCAATCATGACAGATTTTCAAGCACTTGGGGTGACACATACTCTGTATGCTTTGCGGTAGTGCTGTACACTGTCTCCTAATTTCCCCTCTGCCTCCTTCTCAACCGCTCGCTCAAAATGCTCTAGAGCCGACCTGGGTTCATGTCTAGAAGTTGGAGGATGAAAAGCATCTTCGTCCGAGGGATGCACACTCAGTTGACCCATTCCGTGAACAATTTCACTGTGATCAATCGAGGCAGCCCCTTCGTGCTCCTCCTCATGCTGTGATGCCTCATGGCGGGTAGGTGGAAATTGACTTGGCGGCGCTGTTGAAGGCTTGGACGATCTTGGCTGTGCAGGAGTAAGCCTTGTATGTTTCGTCTTTTGTGCAACTTCCTCGCGCCACTGGCGTCGAAAAGACTCGAGTTCGGCGTTGTCCTCCATTCTCACAGTTGTGACAAGTTCGGCAAACGGATCCCCAGACCGATAAGCGGCTGAGCGCGGGACTTGCGGAACCGGCTAGAGAATCAATAGGCTGGAATTTGGAGGGGGCCGGAGACAGACACCGAGTTTGATGGATTCACAGAGTGAGAACTTTCAGACATCCATTGTATTAGTTGCAGCGATCGACTGATGATCAGATGTGAGGTCGAAAAGGTAGGTAGGTATGAGTAGAAGAGTAGGGGGAGGGACGGAGGAAATGCTTATCAATATTATCTCCGGGCCTTAACCTGTTATTGTCTGGCCCAGCCGCCACCGCCGACCGCCGACGACCCGAGCGTTCTTTTTCTCTGACGCATTTGTTTCTCCCCTCTTACGTCTATTGCAGATCCTCGACTCATACCTACCTACCTTGCTGCTTGCACACCCGCGTCATCTCAGAGATTTCAGTCGGCAACGCGAATTCGAAGTGCAGACCGACTGAATCATTACCAGCCAAGAGGATCCCTCATATTCTCCCAATCTCCAGCGCGTTGAATGAATGTCCGATATTCGAACTGAGCTTGCGCCGGGAGACCGATATCGCTCTAACGACTTGATTAACTTACAAGGGGGCTCGACAGAGTCATGGCAATCAGTTGAAACCTCAACAATGGCGACTACTTCTGGAACAGGGGCTGCCCCGGCTCTGGACGCCAAACCTATCCACGACGATGTATCAATCACTCAAAAGATGATTTCAGCCACAACCGGCAGCGTTCTCACAGCTCTGCTAGGTACGCCACCTCGAGCCCATCATCATTCTGTCAGATTCTGAGATGAATGCTAACTCTTTCATGCAGCCACTCCTCTTGATGTCGTCCGAGTCCGCTTGCAAGCCCAATCCTCAGTCAAGAACACGTCCCCATTCGCCTCCCACACTACACACTCGCTGAAAAATGTCCCTTCAGACCTCGGGGTTACTGCTTGCTGCCGGGAAGTCTTTTGGATTGGTCAGAATGCGCAGATGTGTGTCGCTGGGCCTGGTGCCGGTAACATAGGCGCTGCATCCATGACGGAGTGCGCAGTGGAAGAGACTCAGCGCAGAACGTTCACCTCGACCTTGGATGGACTACGAAAGATCGCCCGAAACGAAGGAGTCTTGACACTCTGGCGTGGGCTCAGTCCCACACTGATGATGGGGATCCCGGCAAATATTATCTACTTTGCTGGCTACGACTGGCTGCGAGCCGATGACAGAAGCCCTATCAAAGCTCTTGTCCCCGTCGCATACGCTCCACTGGTCGCAGGTTCGGTCGCAAGGACGGCCGCTGCATCTGCGATTAGTCCTATCGAGATGTTTCGGACGCGATTGCAAGCTACTCCAGGTACAGGGGCAGGGCATTTCAAGGCGACCCTTGAGGGGTTACACCAGATGGTCCAAGCGAACGGCTACAGCTCGCTCTGGAGAGGGTTGACTCTTACCATGTGGCGAGATGTACCTTTCTCCGGCTTATATTGGTGGGGTTACGAAGAGGTCAAGAGCTACTTCATCGAGGCGCGCAAGAAGGCTTACATGAACCGCCTTCCACACGATATCTCATTCTCCACCCACCAAACACCACACGACCTCGACACTCCGACATTTCTTGATAGCTTCATTGCAGGAGCGTCCTCTGGCTCTCTTGCAGCTTTCGTGACTACCCCGTTTGACGTGGGCAAGACACGACAACAAGTATTCCGACACATGGGCGACGAAGCGTCGAGCGCCCTTGGAGACAGTGCCAAGGGGACATCCCACCCTGAACAACTACCCCTGCCGAAATTCCTGATGCACATTTTCCGTGAAGAAGGCATGGCGGGACTATTCCGTGGCTGGGTTGCACGCTGCCTCAAAGTCGCCCCCGCCTGCGCGATTATGATCTCATCCTACGAGCTTGGAAAGAAGATGGCACGAAACGTGAACGAGTCTCGGACTCGGTCTGCAGATGAAGTCGCCTCTTCAGAATAGCAACACCGAAGATCCTCATCCTGCGCAACGCAACGACAAAGTGACAATATCCCCTGAATACACTCAAAGTGCTTGTCGATAGTCAGCCAACCCTGGTGCAACACACCCTTGTCTGATGAACTCGGTAAACGATTACAGATACAGATACCATCTCTGCTCTCTACACTTCCTTTCCGTCCACCTTTATGGTCATTTTGTCTTTCGGTGATTCTTGCATTGAGCCTGAACCATAGACACATTTCTTGCCCTCTTTAATCTTTTGTTCGAAATGTTGCTACATCTGGTTTCATACTTCTTTGTCTTTCATTTTCGCATGGCGCTGAAAAAGGGTGGGCCCGTGTTTTTGTGTTGGGTACAACACGGTTTTCTGATTTCATGTACAACATCATATATCCGATAGAGCGACCCAGAAAAATCCCCCCCTCTATATGTCTATACGAATCCTTGTGCGATGGCTATGGAGCCGAGTATATATATTCAGAATTGTTTGATGTCACAGTGACTGAATTAGGCGAAGATGTTTGAGTGCAGCCGACCCATCACTGCAGGTGGTGGCGTGGCGTGGCGTGGCGTGGCGTGGCGTAACGACAAGTAGTGCTCTATTCTATACATCTCTAGTAGTATGGTATGGGTCAACAACGGCTTCATAATACAGAAGGGAAAATACACGCTATGCAACTTAACCTCAGCAACACCTATCACCTACCCAGCCCAGCCCAACCCAACCCAAAACATTCTCCTCATCGAACATCTCATCTAGCAATTCAATCCCCCACCATCCCATTGCCATTGCCCGGAACCGCCACCGACAGCGCCGTTATCATCTTATCCTCATGGCGCAGCCAGAAGTCATCCTCCCCCGTATACCGCCGCTTCTGCCAATTATGATTCCGCCGATACCGCTGCAACCGGCCGCCGCCGCCGAGCGACGGGCTCTCTTCGGCGGCGCTGTTGCTGTTGCTGCTGCCCAGCGTGGACAGGGAGGCCGACATGTTCGTTGGCTGTGTGACCCTGCGCCACTGCAGCCGGGCGAGGGTGACGGGGGCGAAGAGGGAGTCGGCCAGGAGGTTGAGGACGAGTTTCTGGGCGCGCCAGAGGGTTTCGCGGAGGCGTTCGTTGAAGGCGACGAGGAGGGCGATCAGGATTATTGCGAATGAGGTTGGGCCTTTTTGGTCGCGTTAGTGGATGAGGTGACTATGGGAATCTTCCAAGCAAGTGAGGTGGGTGCTTGGGTAGGTGTGCCGAGGAACTATGGCAGATGGAAAGAGGTATTTCTGGCGAGGAGGGGGGGGGGGGTGGTTTACCTGAGATGTAGAGCATTTGGCCCAGGGTGAGGTTTGTGGATTCCCCGCTCCACTCGCGGGCGTTGATGCCGAAGAGGGAGGTGAAAAAGGAGAGGGGGAGGAATCTGTGGTTATGTTCTCTTTCATCAGTAAAAGGCGCTATCGTTATATCTTTAGCTGGAATCCGATGCAAGTGACTGACATGATGGTGAAGATGGTGAATACCATCACGGATCGGGATTGATCTTGTGTGACCTCTGCTTCCCATCGAGCGAGACGAGATTCATCTACATTGGCTTGCTTCTGTTTGAGGTCTAGGAGGTTCTCGACCTAAGGAGCGTGAGGTGGTTAGTGGTGTCTTGCTTCATTCTTCGGGGCGAACCCACACAAACGTACCGCTTTCTGGGCCAAAGAAGCGTTCTCCCTCATTTCTAGGACCTGGTTGCGGTAGTCGTCAAGTCTGGATAGCGACGCTTCCATGAACACCTTCCCGTAACCCTTGTGCTCGAAGTAGCCCGACATCGTCTTGATGGTTGTGGTTTGCACGTCCAGAAGCTTGAGAATGGTCCCTAGCTCGTCGATGATGTCTCGTAGTTCCAGTAATGTGGAGAGGTCTTCGCGGTTGCGACTGGCTAGCTCATGGTCTCGTTCCTCTCGCTCTGCGGCCGACATGGGCTTTCCATCGGCATTCTTGTTGAAATCTGCAGGGCGCGTGATGAAGCCTCTGTTGCGAAAGCGTTTGAAGGATTTCGTCATGGATTCGGTCTGAATTGTGTGAGTTGTGTACGCGCATCCCGGGAAGCGAACGGCCAAAAACTTACCAGGATGCTGATGGACTCTTCGAAAATGCGGAGGATTTGCAGATCGCGATGCAACGTTCGATCAAGCAGAACAGTAGCTGCATGTAACACAATCAAGGCGGCAAGATCCCCCGCTGTCTCGAACCGTCTCGCCAAATCGCCATTCAACTCATTGTAGATGCTATTGTAGAGGTTCGATTGCTCATAGAGCTTTCCTTCGGCTGTAGTGGCTTCTTGATGAGGAAAGAATGTTACCACAGTCTTCTCGTCGACAATCCAAAGCCAAAGTTGATCGACCATGAGTACTTTTCCATCCATGAACGGGCATTGTCTGTCTGAGTCGTCCTCAACGTGTAAGGCGCTGTTGAACTCACTCAAGTTGACCTTTTTCTTCGTCCGTTTCCACAGCATTTGATCGTCGTCTCGTGCTACTGTTGATCTGAGGTTGGGATACCCGAATTGGTCTAAAGTCCTGCGTATGTGAATCGGGGGCTCATTGCCCAAGAGTTTCCAGATCAGCTTCGATTCTAGACTCGCCGTCGAGATACTGTGAGGTACAGGCCTGAACCTGCCCTGCTTGAGCCGTTCTTCAACCATTTTGCGTCGATGGACCAGATTCGAGTAAGTGTCCCAGTGAAGCTAAGCGATAATTAGAATGCACTAAAAGGGTTCGGTGCCATGATGTACATACGTAAGGAACCTTGGCGGAAAATCCATCAGTGAGGGCCAGAAATCATGCAGGTGTTTTGACTTACATATAGTGCCAGTCTAGGGTCATGTTCTTCCTCTTGAGCACCCAAAGGTGTATGCGGTTCTTGCTTGAAATGAATGCAAGCCGGCCGCACGTAACGTGCATGAGGCTCTAAATGACGGGCTCTGATGAGGTTCGAGTACCAATGCTCTTCATCCATGAGCTTCTCGAAGCTGGTA